TCTCTCCCTATTACGTCAAGCATTGTTTGATGAGTACCCCCTGAACCACACATTTGTAAACCTCCCACACCGATAGGGGGTTGGGTACAGTAAAAACATTGGAGGTGATGTTATTCCGTATAGCAGCTTCCTAAACAATATTTTGATTCACCTAAAAATAGGAGTTTCCCAGTACCATATAAAAATAGATTTGCACATCTGGCAGTTTTTCAAGATTATGATCGAGACATGGATAAACAGGATGTCTAGCCCTCTATTTTAGAGGATAGAACAACATGGAAACGGAGAGATTGGGGTGCTCCAAGGGGAAGAAAGATACACAAGAGAAGAAGCGGTTGTATAGCAGAGAAGAATATACAAAGGAAGACTATACCAGTAGGACAGGGTGTTTTTAGTTCAGCCCTCCTAGAGAGGGAAGAGTTATTGGTTTAAGATATAGGTTTTTTAATTTGTTTCTAAGGCCTTGTTCACACCAAATGCAGAGCAGATCCGGTCAGGTTTCTGGACACGCACGCTAGTCTTTTAGATGCGTTTTTGGCTATATAAAAAAACTTTTCTTTTTAGTTAAACATTGGCTTTCAGTGCGTTCCAGGCATTTGCATGCGTTTTTGATGCGTTTGCAGATCCAGAGCAGGTAAAATAGGGCCTGCTGCATTTTTTTTACCTGCTCTGGATCTGCACGCTGCGATGTGAACTGGAGCTCAAAATACCATTGGAATACATTGGACCCAGTTTTGATCCGGTCTGCACCTGCTCTGCTCTGGATCTGCTCTGCGCTTGGTGTGAACTAGCCCTAAAAAGGCTGTGACAAATTTAGTACATTTATAGATGTACATAAGGCAAATAAATATGAAAGTATTTTTTCCCAGGATCTGGTCCCTCCAATAAAGCAAACCCAGTAATGATTTCACAGATATGTGTACCATCTGGATTAAGAAATAATTAAATTTTCAATTCATCTAGTAAAATAATCATTTTATTGAAACCTGTAAACAGGGAAGATTGATTGTCTTCTTTCAGCTAAATCTACACATGGAGTTTTAAGTAATAATCCCTCATAAGATCATAAGAATCGGTTAAAAGATTTGGCGGTCAAAGGAAATAAAGAGACAATAATATCAAAGTATTTGGTTCACTCCTTCGGCAAAGTTCCTGTCATATATTACTTGCTGAATGTTCAAAAGAATACACCACAGCCCCCAGGTAGCCCCATTGTCAGTGGAGTGGACTCACAGACATCCCGTATGAATTAATATGCTTTTTTCTACAGCCACTGGTCACTAGTACATAGTCTTACATAAAGGATACCAAACATGTAATATAGCAAATAAATAAAATAGAATACAGTTCAGAATTGATTTTGGGAATAGCTGATGTTGTGTTGTTGTGCACAATTGGATTGCATGAACAAGGACTGTAAAGGGTGCAAAGTTTTTTTTAATTTCAAGATGATACCATACCAGAAATGTAAAATCAATTTATTTTGAAAAGTTTTTTTTTTTTGGCATTGAAGCATAATTTAGTTTTCTTGTTTAATAATAAGCATTACTTGCAAACAACTGGAGCTGCTATAGGCAGGAAATATGTTTATAACCTATTGGGAGGAATGTGTCATCCATTAGGACACTGCCCCAGAGCTGATGTTCTCATTCTCATTTGGAAGGGTGATGAGCCGTTGCTTCGAAAATTCCTTGAAGATTTAAACAAGAACAATTTTGGCATCAAATTGGCATTTTGTATAGACAGTCATCATTCATTTTTGGATTTATTGATAATTATTAAAGATAACACTATCTGCACAAAAACATACTTTAAAAGTTGAGACAGAAATTCCTTAATCCCAAAGTTGACCTACAAAGCTGGCAAAAAAGATCCACGATGTAGCAAATTTAGAGAGTAACTTATCGAATACAAAAATTGGGAAGGAACACATGAGTATTCTCACCAAAAGGCAACGTTAACAAATTTTAGCACTGAATACAAAACCATTGAGAATATTATGTCCAAATATTGGCCTACTACTAAAAAATTGTTTAATATGCTGTTAATAAGCTTTAAAATGTGCAAAAATGCGCAAAACACACTAGCTGAAATTACATCGCTTTCGGCAGCTAAGTGAATAAGTGAATTCATTTTAGAAATTTTCCCATAATGATGAGGGCTGCTCTCCAAGACTTGGACTGAGAGGGAATATTGTGATAAAAAAAACACAGAACAAATAATGGAAATGTGAAACAATTGTTTACAAACATACTGCAAAATATGTTCCCATAAGCAATACGTTTAAAAGGTTGAAAGTAAAACCAATGTGGCTTACATCCAATGTTACAAAATCCATAAAGAATAAGAAAACGGCATTAAGAAAATATGAAAATGAAGGAACACTGTCATCCTTTGAAAATTACAAAGAATATAACAAAATATGTAAAAAGGGAATCAAGATCGCACAGGTTGCAAAAGAGAACAAGAGAACCCCCCAAAAAAACTTTAAATATATTTATTGTAAAAAGATCAGGTCTAAGCATGTAGGCCCCTTACAAGATAACTCAGAGTTGGTGATAGGGACAAAGAAAAGGCAAATCTATTTCAATACCTGTTTTCATCTCTGTCCATAATTGGGATGGCAGTGCCACAGGCTCTCATGTACCACAATGTTTCAAAATTGATAAGGTCCAAAGACAGTTATAAAAAATTAAGGTGAACAAAGCACAGGGACCGGATGACTTACATGCACATGTCCTAAAATAATTGTGTTCTATTATTTCAAAGCCATTGTATCTCATACAAGAGACTCTTTATTGACTGACTTGGTACCAATGTGGTGCCTATATTTAAAGAGGGATCAAAGTCTTCAACAAGTAACCACAGACCTTTATGCTTAACTGCCATATTTTTGATGATACTTGAGAGTTTGATAAAGGACCACATACACAATTTTTTGCTATAAAATAATATTATAAGCAATAGTCAGGCTTCACAAAAGACTGACGTTGTCAAACATATCTATTTTCTTTTTATGAGGAAGTAAGTAATAAACTAGACAAAGAAGTGGCTGTATATATAGTATACTTGGACTTTGTAAAATCATTTGATGTTCTCCACAGATGGCTAATGTGTTAGTTAAGGTCTATAGGCTTATAATATTCAGTCTGTAATTGGATAGAAAACTGCTTAAAGACCGTATGCTGTTAGTGGTGATAATGATTCATACTCTGATTAGAGGGAATGGAGAATGGTTATTATTGGTGTACCCCTAAGTTCAGTTTTAGGATCCTTACTGTTAACCTATTTATAAATGATATTGAGTTTGGGATTAAAATACCATGTCTGTGTTTTGCAGATGACACCAAGCTATATAGTGAATCAAAGTTCTTACAAGATGTCTTCAACATACAAGCAGACTGTGTTGCACTGTTTGATTAGGCAGCTATGTGGCAAATGAGGTTTAATGTTGATAAATGTTAAACAAGTTATGCACTTGGGAACTAAAATTATATTTTTGGCCAATATGTTTCGGTGAATCCCTAATTATTATTATATGTAATTGGCTTATTGACTTTATATGGAGAGTTTTCTTTTTAATGTCTTTATGTTTGTCTTTTGTTGACTCACATGCTTCATTACACAAGCAGGATTAATAGTTAGTTTATTTGTCTGTTTTGGCTTTAACTAATTATGCATGTTGGCCTACAGTGAAAGATGAGCCAGGTTGTTGTTGCAAGATTGTTTTGTACAATCTTGCAATATATTCTACACATGAAGACCACCACAGGAATGTGCATTGGTAATGCCTTTAATAAAAGACTGCCTAAAAGAAAAGGTTGGAGTGTTTCTTCTTTCAATTTGCTAGTGACCCTAATTCAGGTATGCTGCTTTGGTGGATATGGGTGGGAGGGGAGCTAGTGAGTGTACTCCACCTTCTTGGACCCATCAGGCATCATTCCTATAAAATATTTAGTGTGGGTAGGGAAAGGTTTCTGTAGCAGAGTGATGAGACTTAACACTCCCCACTCCCACTGAAGGAGCTGTGTTGCATTGTTTAGAAATAAAGGCCTGTGCCCATATAATCTCACTTCTAAAAATACTGTATTGTAACAGTATGACAAGAAACATCAAAATAAAAAGAGTTAAGAATATAGCTATGAAGCACGCTAACCATTATGAACAAAACATGCGCATAGAGAAAATCTCTGCACAAATATTGCAAACCGGAACCAGAAATATGTAATTGTGGTTGACTGTGCTGTATGCACAGGGATGGTTGTGCATTGTTCATTCTTGGAAGTACCAACTGCCTTTGCACCTTCTCTCGGTGAGAGGTGGTCACTATTGTATAAGTAAGTCTGCACCACCATGTAATCTGTATATACAGTATGTGTAATTGTATGTGCACATTGGTGTGGTTCTGTTGCGGTTTTCTCTTTATATACATATCCAAAAGAGAAATAATGGAGTGTCTCTGTGTCCGGATATGGAGACAGATTCTCCATCTCCCAACGGTGCTGCAGTTAAAATCTACATACTCAATGACAGCTCCACATTGTTGATTTTTACCTTTCTTAGCCATATCTGACACAGACATAGACACAGGAGTATTCAACTGGTCAGGCGGCATTGGAGAATAGTGGTGATGCGCTCCTCCTCTAAGTGCAAGCAGCAACCACAACCTGCTCTTATCTCCGGGTGAGTGGGTTTTAATTGTGACCTTTCAATAGGTTTTGGATTTAGAAGATAGCCTAACATGTTTCCAGTTTCTCGCCTTGGCACATGGGCAGATCACTACTAAATTAATAAATTCCAACATTCTTGGTAAACAACATGGATGGGGGAATCTGTAATGGAAGAATATGTATTAAGGCATCTGCTACTACCATGTTTTAAAACCACAATAGTCAGTATATCTAATAGGAATAGCAGAAATGTCACCAGCACACCAGAAAGGTTTCAGCAAAAGTCCATTTAATGACCAATTGCCATTCGATCATTGTAATGGATTTTTGCTGAAACCTTTCTGGTGTGCTGGTGACATTTCTGCTATTCTTATGTCATTCACGGTTCCACCCGTGGTCACTACAAGCACCCACCTGTATATTCAGGATATTTACTGTTTCGGTAAGGAGTACAGCAAGATACTTACTTCAGTGTATCTAGTAGGACACAGTTAGTGGACCAGATTTTAATCCCCGCCGCAATAGATTATTAGATTAGACTACCGTGCAGCTGTGTGGGTGTGAAGCAATGTTTGTCAATTAGGCAGAGAACTGTAAAAATTACAGATGGTTTTGATTGCTTTTAGCCAAAGCCCCCACCCACGTTTTTCAATTATGTGTCCCAGTGATTAGGGAAGTAGTCATCACTTACGTTGATTTGGCCATTGTTTCATGTACAGCAAGTACAGCAAGCTAATTTATCCGAGTTAATTAGCCAGTAATGTCAGTAAGCTAGGTGTGAATTTGTGGGCTCAGTTAGCCAGACTACTGTAGAGTGGCTTAGTGAAACACACAGCTATGTAAATCAGTATTGTAACCTCACCCTATAACTGGGAATAACTGGAACAAAGGCTAGGAATTGGGGATTTTTTTTTTTATGTATACATTTTATATTGTCCATTTTAAAAATGCTTAAATTTTTTTTTACTGTTTATAAAATTTTTATTGTTTTAACACTTCACACTTGTGGCTTAGTTTTCTTTTAGGAATTTCTGACATTACATTAACTTTTAAGATACACAAGGGTGGAGTAGATTGTATTCCCTTTGACAACATTTTAGCATATTTAACCTCTGGTTTGTGTCTAAGATTGCCATTTTCCTGTAACAACTACATGAGTAGAGCATGGTCAATATGTCAACACAAGGTTCGTATATCTTACTGAAGGCAGTGAATTTGTGCTGACTCCAAACATGCATTCATGTACAAGTTCTAACAATGTTTTAACGCTTGCCATGTGCATATGCTGGAAGTTTGGAAAAGTAGCCAGTTGCCCTAAATTCAGTAAGCAGCTTTTGACAAGTGCTTTTGACATACTCTGCTGCAGTAGCCTCTACCTTGGCAAACCTCTACATTAAAAGATCTGTAAAAAAAAAAAAATCAAGGTAATTGGACTTGTTGCTGTATTTTTCTTGAAGACATTTTACTAGTCATCCAACCAGCTTTCTCAATTCAGAATGACATGTACAAAAATTATCTGGGAATAAATATGGTGAATGTTGCTCCAATCAACATAATCTGTTAATCATAACCAGCATGGGGTCAGAGGCCTCGTGGAGGTAAGGTGCTGATTGCATTGAAATAAATTGAGCTAGCAGGTGGTATTAACTCCCCCCCCCATTGGTTATGATAACAGATTATGTTGATTGGAGCAACACTCACCGTATTTATTCCCAGAAAATGTTTGTACAAATCATTCTGAATTGAGAACGCTGGTCAGGTGACCAATGAAACGTCTTCAAGAAAAATACAGCAAGTCCAGTTGCCTTTATTTATTTTTTTATAGATATACCATGACCTTGATGAATGAAACCTTCACAGAAATATTTCTACACTTGAAAGAATTTCTGATTTCCTGTTTAACACATGATAGGTCAATGAAAGGGTGAGGGGTGAGGGGCAGGATGATAAGGGGATTTAGAGGGGCAGGAGATTATAAAAGAGTGATGAGTAGGAGCAGGATGGGAAGGGGGCTGGGAAGGAGGGTGTATGTGTGTGAAGGTGGTCAATGATGTGAGTCAGTGAAGACTGTGAGGATGTGGGAAATTCCAAAATAATAGGTGACTCAGAGGAGGAGGCAGTGGCTGTTGCATGACTGGGGCCACTGGAATCTGAATCTGCACACCAAGGGCTTGAAACACTCTCAAAGAGCAAGAAGCGCTTCTCATTGATCAGTGCGGTCAGAAGAGCTTCTCATTTGTCAACCAATAAGTGCTTGCCATTTGCGAGCGAAATTCAAAATCCATAGCACAGGGCTACGCTACACGCGCATGCGCGGTGACGTCTCGGTGGGGTGACACTCGGTTACTGCTCCGGGTGTCACCCAGCCTCGGGACGCCCCTGATTTAAGCTGGCGATGCTCCTGATTTAAGCTGGCTATACACATATAGATTTTCTTCTATTAGCCTATGGTCAGATGGAAAAATGCAACAGATTCCTCCATCTACACTAAACATTGTGAATGGAGGAATCTCCTGCTGGGCCAAGCTTCAGTATCTTGCTAGTTGGCCCCGCTGGCTGCCAAAATACCTGAACAATCTGATTGGAGGCAGGCATTGTTCAGGTATTTTGAGAGCCAGCGGGGCCGATTAGCAAGATACTGAAGCTTGGCCCAGTGGGAGATTCCTCCATCCACACAGTTTAGCTTAGATGGAGGAGTTTGTTGCACTTTTTCCATCTGACCATAGACTGATGGAAAAAAATCGATAGAAAATCGATAGGTGTATGGCCAACTTAAGTCATTCTACAAAATCCATAGAGCGAGGCTGAGCAAGTGACATCAGCCAGTGATAAGCCTGGGATTTACTGCTAATAGAGCTCAAGGCTTTCTTTTTGTGGTGGAACCTTATGTGGATGACAGTCTTTCTATACTTGCATGCTGTACAACGCTACAACTCCGACATTACTGCCCAGCACTGTGTTATTATTGCTGCCCACTGTCCTGGAAGAGTCTTTATATATACTGTGTGTATGCCAAACATTTTTCTGCTCCCCCTAAACATGCTGCTAGCCATGTGTGCAGGGTGATGATTAGGGTGTGCTCGAGCACACCCGGCACACCTCGTGCGCACGCCTATATTGTGGATATAATATAAAATATTATTATGTTTACAGAGGTTCAAAATGAGGGCAAGACTTAATTTAAAGATATCTCACAAGAGAGGGAGTTAAAGAGATCCCTAAAAAAACTGAAGGATCTATGTGAAAGAAAGTGGAGGAGTTGGTGGAATATAAAGGTGCTTTTTTTTAACTATCTAGATGACAATGTTTGCCCACAGAAATTAAGAATATAGATTTTCCCCAAAATCAAAGAGGTAACTAGTGATCGCAAGAGAAAAATGAGAAGAAAATGCACAAATTTGTTCATGGGCTATTATGAATCCATTGATTGAGTTCTATTTCCAAAAATTAACATCAATTTGAATCTGATTTGAATGGGGGCACATAGCTGTATAGGTTTTGGTTCACAACCTAGGAAGGGAAAGGGGGGAACAAAATTAAGGGTACATTTAAAAGGAAAATGGTGGTTTAAATAAGGTTTTGGAACATGACAATGGAAAGGGTCAACACAATAACACATACACTCTCCCATATGCAGAGTAGAACTTTATGGTATGCATGCATTAAAAAAACAACAACATACAAGAACAAGAAAGAGCAGATCTAACCTTCTAACAAACATGACAAGAACCACATTTAACCTTCTTCAGAAACAACACACTCAGATCCAGCCAGTAGGTGGGTACACCCCAGATAGTTCCTCTCACATAGAGATAAGTGATGGATCAATATCTAACAAACTGGATGGAGGAGTAGATGCAAGGTTTGTCAATCTGTCCTCCTATGTTTTGTCTCCTAGTCAGGAACTTTATTATCTGAAAAACTCAATTATTGTCCCACAAGGAGATGGGATTACTATAGAGCTGTCAAGGATGTTTATCTTTTGCACATACTGTAAATTGGTTTTTAAAGCTTTACATGCTAAGAAACCGTCTGTTCCATTGGCAGGATTCTTGGATGATTTGACAGAACTTAGTAGGTGGGAGCTTTGGACTGTAAAAGCTCTTACAGACCTTTGGGAAGAAGGTCAGGTGGAATCCTTGGAACTGAGGGAGAATAGAGATTGACAATCTTACAGGGACAGAACATGAGGTACTATACTCCTTGCAAAGCAATCGTAATACCAAGATAAGTTCAATTTATAGTTTACTAATTCATGTGATCATCAGAGGATAACCTTTCTTGACTTAGTTATTGAGATCAGTGCAAAGATACAGTTGGCAACATTTATATGAAACCAGCGACCAAAGACACTAGTGAAAAGTATCTCAGTGGGACAATATTTAAGAACCTGAAGAAAAAGCTCATGCCCTCAGGATTTTGAAAGGGAGCTAAAATCTTGAGAAGCAGAGTCCTGAAACATGGATTTTAAAGAAAATGGCTGAGTAAAGAACAACATAGAGTAATGGATAGCGACAGGGAGGATCTAATACATGGACACAAACAGAACAATTTTACCAGACAAAGCCTGAGATTTAAAATATCCCTTACAAAATGTGGATACATGTACCAAACATAAGCATCTTTTGGCCAAGGACCATATAGTCAGTAAACGTATGCCCCACGATCTAGTTGTGTATTCAGGAAGGCAAATACATGAGTGGTATTTTAGTACATAGTTATGTGTCCTGGATAGAAAGAACAAATAACAAAGGTAATTATCATGTTTTTAGATGTGGGAGATGGAAATACTAAGGGACAGTGCTGTGATGTTTTCAGAAAGCTATGTACAGAATGCTGCCGGACCCTCCCACCAGCTTTGATCTATCTGCATTGCACAGAGACCTGGTTATATTACTGGGTCTAAAATAATATATGTAATAACAACAGGAACTTTTTTTCTTTAAAGTTTCATTAGCATGTTAACAAGGGCAGGAAAAGAGGAATCTGGAATAGCAAAATATAAGCAAATTAACTTCAGTGTTAAAGTAGAACTGTGACCAAATGGGCATTTAAATATTTCCATATTATTAACAAGCACGAGGTCAGTGAAGGCTTGTTTCAAATCATTTTACTGCTTGCTAAGAATATATCATGTTGAATTCCATAGCCTAGCCATAGTTCTATTTTAGGTTTGCTTATTCTCTTACAATCCTAGGAAGCTTTCATTTTGTTTCTTCCTAATAATACATGTGTATAAAAAAATTTTTAGAGAGCATTTGCCTCTGAAAGGGATTGTTCTGGTATCTCAACAAAATGATAGGCCATGCCCAAATTTTTGCTCAGATTGTTAGAATTACAGGGTTATTTACTAGAGGGTGAAGAGTTTGGAGAAGTGAACAAGCTAGGACAACATCGCTGAACTGAAAGTAAGTTGCACACCTCTCATTTAGGTTTCCATCTCCATTCCTTGCAAGTAACTCCATCTGCTACTGTACAACACAAGGAAGCTATTGCTTGTGAACATTTTGCTAGGTACTTAAATGCCACTCAGACTATACTGTTGCCAGGATGAGGAAGGGGATAGCTTCTCTGAAACACATTTCTAAGTAATAGCATCCTTGGATTGTATAGCGACAGGCAGAATCACTTGCAAGGAGAGTATAAAGAAACTCAGGTGAGGGGTGTGTGCTCCAACATTTGTACAAGAGTTGTTGAGTACATCAAGCAGCGGAGCTAATGCTCCACGCTTGTATGATACCTACGCCGGTGGCTGCAGATGGCGGTTCCTGCTGTATCACTATTGTTTCAAAGTATTAAAGAAGGCTTCCAACACTATGCCAGTGTGCTCTTTATTGTGCTTTAGAAATTGGGATAGTACCTGCTATACTCAAATAGTAGAGACAAGATGTCACTTAGTATAACAGGAATTGGAACAGGAATAATCAAGGACACCTTACTACCCTCATTTGCCTGCCGTTGTGTTAGCCCTTGCACTTCTGGTGGCGTCATGGGGGCTCAGTGCTCCTTCGTTTTTATAATTTAGTTGCTGTGATCTTTGTGGCGGCACATGTCGGATCACACTTCCATGTGCCTCTAGAGCCTCTAAAGCCTTGGATTTAACGATTGGGCTGATCAGGTGGCTGAGAGCAGCCTCAATAGGAAGCCAGCCCAGTGCTCAGAGAGTTGTGTTGGAGTTGTGTGTGCAGGAAGCACAATGGACACAGGCAAACTCAGGTGCATGCTGGACGCACAAGGGACAGCCAGGGGTGGCTGGGAGAGGTCAGGAAGGTCGGTGACCCTAGGACCTGTGGTACACACTGCTAAGAGAGCAGATTGAGGGCTCACGAGGGGTGAGTGTCTTGGAGCTGTGGAAAGCTACAGAGCGAAGCTAAAAGACTGTCCTTTATGTTGCGGCTAGAAACTGTCTTGTGCAACAGGGGAGGTCTACCCTGTGGATGGAATTAGATAGTGGGTGTTTGCCCTTAATAACCTGCGTTTTACTTGCACCTCCTGTCTACAGTGGAGTGTCCTTGTTACAAAATATATATACCCTCCTCCTCCCCCTTCCCTTCGTTTTCTCATGTTTAATTCTCCCATGCAGTCGTTATTTGCCTCAGCAAACCCAATCTTGTTAGAGTTTGGTTTTAGTTTTTTTCTCTTTTCATTACTGTTCTTGTTGGAATACATCACTTCTCTTCATTCCCTGTCTCTTACTTTCTTCCCTTTGGTGTGGCTACCCCCAAGATTTTCCCTCTCTTTTCCGTTATTTTTGATCTATTGCGAGCAGCATTTGCTTCAACTCTTCTTCCTAAGCCCATGGCTTCCCTGACATTGAAGATTTTATCCCATAATGTTCAGGGGGTTTAATGTACCTAGGAAACACAATAGAGCCCTGGGGTACTATCACTCCTGCAAGACTGACATACTGTTTTTACAGGAGACTAAATGTTCTCTCTCTTCTTGCCCTCATTATTTTGGTAAAGATTATACTTATGCCTACAATGCTAGTTTTCAGGAAAAGAAAAGAGGGGTTGTTATAGCGTTTCAACGTAATTTACCTTTTATATGCAATAAACAAATTGCTGACCCGACGGGTCATCATCTGATTCCTGGGATTTCTACTTATTAATGGTTAGGCCCAATACAGTACCAAAGTCCTCAAAGGGCACCCTATATGACATTGACATCACTCTGGCCACCTATTAAGCCCACAACACTTTTCAATCCTGTTTCTTTTCCAACAGATAGCTTACCACGGCAAGGGCTTGATTATACTTGGTGGCGACTCCAATGTTATTTTGGACCCATGACTAGATAAATCCCGCTCCTCAGGATCCTCTTCTACGCACCCTTGTGATGAATCTGAATCTAAGCTTCTGAATTCCCTCTTGAACTCCCACAACATGATTGACCTATGGAGGTAACTGCACCCCACTGAGAGAGATTTCCTTTCGAAAGGCCAAAATATTATCTACCCCTTGGTCTGACCATTCCCCCCATTTTGTTTGAATGTTCTGCTGTCCGGTGTGCTTCCTTTGGCTTCAATTGGCATCTTAATGATTACCTTCTTACCTTTGAACCTTCCTGCTCCAAACTACACTGAGCGCTACAAAGCTGTTTCCACCTTATTGAAGATTCTGTCTCTTCCCCAGTCTGCCTATGGGAGGCCCACAAGGCCACCATGCCCAGGGAAATCATTAGCTTGGCCACCTCTTTTAAGAAAGAGGGGGAAAGCGCAGTCCTTTCCTTATCTCATAAACTCTCCTGAGCTCGAAACTGCCTGGAAGACTTCCCCTTCCGCCTCTCTTAAGGCGCAGGTAGAAGCGGTTCAGGTGGAACTGAATCTCGTTATAAATGCCAAAGCAGAGAAAGAACTTTGATGGAGGAATCAGTCCTTTTATACTCGGACCAATAAGCCTGGTCCTCTTTTGGCCAAACAACTGAAAATGTTACCTTCCCCTCGCCATGTAGTGAAATTGCGTACTCCCGAAGGGGAAGTTATTGCTAATCCCTCTAAAATAGTAGATTTGTTCCACGCCCACTTAGCCTCCCTTTACAATAACTCCCCTATGTTTGATTCTGTTAGAGCGGACAAACTCTTTCGAGACCTACAGTTT